CCACCGAGTTATTGACCTAACGAAATAAGTCTCACTTTTTGATGGATCATAGTAATAAATCTTATATACAGGTGCTCGTTATTATTAGACGACTCAAGAGTACGAGTGATATCGTGAGATCTAGTTTATTTACAGGTTCGGTATAAAATAAACTTCTTCTTCGTGGTCCAATTCAATACACAAAAAAATGAATTAGTAAAATTCATTAATTAAGATAAACTAACTCAATTTATACTATAACCATATCGATAGGTTTGTCCAATGTTATCTTGGTTATGCACCTTATTTATATTGCACAAAGAACCGATAAATATAATCTTCTGCCCACAGGGTTAGCCTGGCAGGTGCCCAATTAAGCTCGGGCTACTACTTCAACCACAATCCTGCTTCGCCAGAGTCAGCTGAATAACTTGGTCTTCTTTGTGGATCTCTTGTCCTCGGGATTTTTTTTCATTATTCATCTTCCTGGCGCTGAGGTCGAATGACCCTTGGACATTCTAGATGCTGCCTCCCGCCTTATTCCACAACCACCTTCCTCTGCTAGTCTTCCTCTCTGAGCTCCTGCTACATGATAAACGGTTCCTACATCGCTAGAGGTCGCTCAGACGCATTTTATACCCCAGTCAAGGTTGTATGCGACCTTGATAGGGTCACGTGGGGCTTAACCTGTGTGCTAGTTTGCTTTTGACCTTTCAGGCGGGGTCCTGAGCCCAAAGAAACCCAGGATACCCATGCCTCCTCCATGTCCTTCACCAAATTCTTATTAGAACTATCGTCAAGTCTGATTTCTAAACTTTTCAAAAACTTCTAAAGAGAAACCAACTTAGTTCCTTATAGCCGGTAAAAGGCTAGATTTTTCCACAGATGACGCCAATTTAATACACAAATTGTCCTAGGACCATGTTAGACCGACACAACTACGAACTACGTTCTGTGTCGAGCTCCGGACCTGCAATGCGTCGGGGAAGGGTTCCAACGAAAAAACTCCGACGCTCAAGTCAGTAGTCGCTCGTGAAAAAAATATGTAACCTGTAAACTGCTATGCATAAATATGCGCTATGTAATAATAGAACCTGAGCATCCTTTATATACATGGGTATCTTGCCGCCTAAGTAGAGTCATGACTATGAAAGAGATCCTATCGTATCTACTTTCTTAGCTTATCACATCTCTAGAATCTCAAACTCCTTAGCAGATACACTGTCCATCCATAAAGGATTATGTTCCCTCTTACCATGTGACACTTAGGTCCCTAGGCCATTCAAACGGTCTCACAACATACCTGCCACAAAGCTTAACCATGTCGTAACCACAACCTCTATCTTCACGACCTCAAGGTTGTGAGGTTCCCTAATCTATCGGAGCTCTTGGAGAAACCCGACCCACAAGTCTTCTTATCAGATCGACATGTACCTTGGGTTGCCTAAGCGAGTACCTTGACAAGGTCAAACACCGATACCAAGCTCAAACTCCCCATACCGGCCTCACCTGAGCTTACCACTCAGGTCAATCTGTCGAGCTATTCTAGGTACTGTATCATTTAGCTTAGCCTATCTATTTTATTTTCTTGATTTTTTTTTAATTGTAATTAAGTATTACTTCTAAAATCATGTGACTCCGATTTAACTTGTAGGGTGACTGATGTTAGCTTAACATGGAATAGTAATTATTTCGACTCTGGCGCCCACAAACACACACATATGTATATATTTATATCAATATATATTGCCAAAAAGATGAATGAATTTTTTTTCACACTACAATGTGATTTACCATTTTAGTGATAAACAGGAAAAAAGAAAGCCTTGGCATATAATGCTGATAGTTGGTTGTCCTGATTATTCGCGTGACTAGGATGAAGTGAATTGAAAACGGGGAAAAAAAACCAAAACAAATGTGTTCCTTTAATAATGTGCAACATTCAATGTAATGGAAATTATGCCATGAATTATTTTTTGGGAGATGGTACGATCCCATTACGGGACCATACCGGCGGGATTTGGAAACGTTATATCCACTATCCCCGACAGTTACATGATGATCTAACAGTTTTAAACCCCGACAAAATGATTTCGTAACGAGACCGTAGCATTTTCCTTATTTTTATGAAAAAATAAAAACACAATTTAGCACAATATCTACCTGAAGATAAATTCTTTTAATTTGTTTTTTATTTATTGTAGAAATAGGTGGGTATTATTCATTGGATTAAAATAAACAAGAAAAAGAAAAAGAAAAAAACGATGCAAGTGCGCAGCTGGTCGGTCAGCTTCATAATCAGGCAAGAATTCACATAAAGTGCTTAGGTTTGTCTTCTAAAATATTATTACACCAAATGTTAAAAATCCTCTGACTATTTAGAGCTACATTATTGGCCCCATTTTCAAAACAACTTTTCTCGTAACTTTCTGTTTGTTGCCCTTATATAAGCTTTAGTTTAAGGTGAATTGAACCAGAACGAAAGAGTAGGCTTGGGACAGTGGGACTTGTTGCCCTTCTGTTTGTCTTTTTAATTTCCGATCATTAGTAGAATATACTTATGGGAAATGCTACGGTTCCGTTACGAAATCGTTCCGTGGTTTGCAACTGTCGGGGATATATAGTTGATCTAACGGTTACAAAGACCGACATGAGTGGTTCGTAACGGGACCGTAACATCTCCCTATAATTATATACACACATATATATGTAGTTCATTCTATGGTTGAGGAAGAGTCTTATATTGGCCCT